GGGTGGGGGGGGGTGGTAGAGATCTGTTGAGAAAACATGAAAAAACTGCCCAGAAAACAGGCTAAAATTCTAAGAATACTATATAAGGCTGGGGGCAAAGCAGAATTCTGTTTAAATTAGAAAGAAAAAAGCAAAAAACAAAACCCAGGGAAGTTGTGGGGTGGATGGAGTAATTAATTCCTCCTTAGTTCCCTACTAAAAGCCCTCCAAAGGGCTCCACATTTCAGAGGCCTTCTCAGTAAGGCCTACCTTGACTTTCTGCTCCCTTTAAAATTGCAAGCTACACCTCACCCCTTTTAATCAGTCCCTCACCCTGCTATAATTCCTAACCCTTTATTTACTTAGTGCTGGTTATTTAGTGTCTGGAGTTTCCTATAGACTATAAATACCAGTTACAGACAAAGCTATTTTGCTAACATGTCCTAATTATCTCCAATAGTCCCTGGCACATAGTTGATAACTGACAAAAGCAAAAAAATCTGTGAATAAAATCAGTTAAGTTTTCTGAGGAAAACAGGTTGTGGACAAAAGATTCAAGATTAGGAATGGCAGTGAGTATCTAGCAACATCAGAAGCTATAAATGTCATAGAACTATACTTTCAAAGTGCTGGAAAAAAGATTCCAATCAGTTTAATATTCACTACCCAACTGACTAATCAGTTAGGAGAATGAAAAGCACTGCTGAGCATGTGAGGTCTGACATTTGCCACCTGTGCACCAACTGAATCGGCCTCACTAAAGCAAGAGAGTGACCTCTAAAGAAGGGAACTCTATGGGATCTTATGTCACAGAGGTAAAATGGATCCCCAAGATAATGAATACAGGTCCTAAGATGACCACTGGGCAGAAGATTCAGAACAATTTTGTCCAGACTGAAGCAAGCTGCAGACTCTTGGAAGTATTTTTTCATGACTTCAAAAAATATATGCAAGTCTGAAAATACTGAAAGAATTTATGTGGACTTGGCTTGAATGTCTTTACATACCTTAACAATAAACAATGACCTGACCATCTCCATGCTTATTTACCCTGGGAGCAGTTGGGGAAGTGTGTGCTGTGAGGGGTGGGAGGTATGGGAAGAGACAGTTTTAGCTTCAAGAGCTTGAATAGATTAGAATCCACAGATAATAATCTGAAAAATCCAGAATTAGCAATATAAACATGCTTCTTAGTGATATGAAGCTAAAACAGAACTCAAAATATTTAGAAGTCTTTATAAGGCAATGGGAGTGATAGAAAGAAAGTATCATCGAGTATCCACGGGGAATGGTTCCAGAAACCTTTCAGACACCAAAATCCAAGAATGCTTAACACAGGTAGACAGAATATTATTTAATTCAGCTTAAGTACACACTCCCTCCCACATATGTCAGCATGCCCCTCCCTCTGAATGTTTTTGATTTACAGTTGGTAAACGCATTCCACAGATGTAGACACAGAAGGCCAACTGCGTGACTCTTTAAACAACAAACATCTACTGACAGTATAAATCTTAAAAGAGGACTGTAATTTCAAAAGAGACATAGCACTTTATAAGTGTATGTCTTAAATTCCATCTTATAGCCTAGTGGCACGCTTTTCTCATAGCTGAACTGTAAAGATAACTTTCCTTTGAGAGGGAAGGCAGCATGTACGATAAATGGCTGCAGCGTACCTGCTTGCTTGTTGGTGTGAGTTTCTCCTCTGGAGACTTTGTGCTGAATGTTAATAAACACTGAAAGGACAGATCAATTAATATGTAAAATATACATTATGGAGTACAAATTAAATAAGATGATACAGGTGTTAAAACAATATCAAATTTTCACATGCTGACTGATACATCTGCCCACAGAGATTATAAGTTTTAAATTAAAAAACCCCTGTGGAAGTTACAGTTGTGTTCTGAGGGGTATTTTAAGATATGAAATACAAGTCACCAGGTTTCTTCAACAGCAAATGAAATACTAAAATTTAAAAAAAAATGCTAATAAATATAATTTGAAGTCTTTTTGGTGGGCTGGAGAGATGGTTCAGCAGTTAACAGCATGTACTGCTCGCTCTTCCAGAAAACCTGAGCTCAATTCCCAGCAACAACATCAGGTGGCTCACAACTGCTTGTAACTCCTGCTCCTGGAGACTCTGACACCCCTGGCTTCTGCCGGCACCTGCACTCACGGCCATATACATGTTAATTTAAAACATAAAAAATTAAGCATTTTTGGTGCCCTCTACTTTTCTCACGTCACAGAGTTAATGGAAGCCACAAAAAGACCCTCAAAGTGGTACTAATACAACCTCATTGGTAACATTGCCTTAGTGAGTATTTGCAAGCATTTCTTTTGGGAAATAAACACTTAATAAAACGATTCTACCCAGAAACAGACTCACACACATAGCCATTGCTTCTAAAATTATGTGTACAAACTGGCCACCTTTTCGCAGGGGGCAGGTACCTGTGATTCTGTCAGGAAGTAAAACTGCGATCTGTTCAGCCACTGGAGGGCTTCTGAGGTGAAAGACTCAGGGATGTCTCGTGGAACAAACACTCCCCACTGGACTTCCTCTCTGGAGAGATTCTTCTGAATGTACAGTGGCCTTGGCTCGCTAGGTTTAAATACAAACACTAGTGGGGAGAAACAAAGAGACGATGACATTTTACCTGCAAAGCCTGGTTCTGGCCTCAGACTTGTAGATCTCTATAATCTTGGAACCCACTCCTTTGAGTAAATGGCCTTGCTAAGAACTGTTTTAGGTTGTTTGATTCAACAAGTAGCTACTCAGTGCCTGCTATGCACCAAGAGGAGTAGGAACCTGAAAAGGGGAAGCATTCCTGTTCCGGAGACCAGGGGCAACTGCAGGAGACCAAAACACTACTAATCCCAGCACTCAGAGACAGGCAGGTCTTTGTAAGATCCAGGCCAGCCACGCCTACATATTGATTTCCAGGGCAAAACAAAACAAAACTCCCCAAACTCCCCAAATATTTTGTCTTAAGTACCAGAAAAGAGATGTACAGACTATTTCAGAAGCAGAAAAGGCCTGAGTAAGGCTTCTTAGAGGAGCTGGAAAAGCATCAAAGGGGTGAAGAAATTATTAACCGAAGTCTGAGTAGTTACTGGCCTGTGTAAAAATAAGTTCTGGAGCTCTCCCAGAACTAAGTTTGAATACAAACATTATAAGGTGTTGGGGCAAGAAAAGACCAGGGCCTCAGGCTTCAAACAAGCTTTGCATTCAAAGGCAAATTTGCTTCAGATTATATTAAAGACATTAAAAAGAAAATTTAGTGATGAACTCTAGAAATGATCTCTGAAAATTTAGGCTGGGAAGGGTAGTGCATTCCCTTAATTCCAGCACTCAGGAGACAGTGCAGGCAGATCTCTGTGAGCTCAAGGACAGTCTGGTCTACATAGAGAATTCCAGGCCAGCCAGGGCTACATAGTGAGATGCTGTCTCAAAAAAGAAAAATTTGCCGACAGATTTCTTTTTAGCATCAAAGTATAGTACTTACAATCTGAACCTACAGGAGACTGAGACACTGCAGCGACATTCTCTGAATTAGGATCAGGTTCCATAACACTAACATTTAATTTTGCACTCCACTCCACTGCAAGGGAAAAACGATGATTCACTTCTAAGAAGAGGTTTACCAAAAGCTCTATTTAAAGACTCATTTACAATAAGCATTCTTCATCTTTTCTGGAACTGTCCATTGTATCATCCTTAGTTGAAAGGAGTCTATGCTCCCACTTAGCAATAGACACACACTGACATTACGAGTGGAGGCGTTCACTGAGTGCATAGTGGGAGCTAGAAAAGCAAAACTAAATTTCAGTATTCCTTCCATACAGTATGACAAAGCTCTTTCCAATTAATGGCCAGAGCTTTTCTGCTCTTACAAATGTGGGTGAAACATTCTAAGTCACCACAGAGAACACCGTACACATTCATTAGCACAGCACCCTCTCTTCCATGCACTCAGACAACCGAAGCCTCATTTCCAGCAGGACTGTGGCAGACCAGATTCAACTCTTACACTGCCTGGGATCGTGCAGGCTGCCATACAATCAACAGAGCTACTCCTCAACTGTTGAAGATGAAGAGCATGAGTACAGTAGAGAGTCCTACACTCTGAATAGTCGGACAAAGTGGTGATAATGGGAGCTGACTTGCGGACATACTGTTTATTGTAAGTAATCTATTACCAGCCCACAGATCTAAATGCTGGTCATGTGAAAAATCATATATTGCCTGGGCATAGACATGAAAACATGAGCCTTAATTTCTAAAACATTAAATTTTAACAGTAAGTTCCTACATGTGCTCTCCTCCCAAGTCACTTTAGAGTAGAAAATAGCTTACATGAACAGCTGAGCAAATTCCAACAGCAAAGAATGCCGTTTTCAGTGGTGCCGAGAAGGTACTTAGAACATGTCAATCTTCCAAAGCAAAGATGCCTAGGTCAAAACCGTAACAAGGTGAGCAACAGACAGAGTACACTGAGTTCCACAGAACTGTAGGCGTGTGACCACTGGCTTTAGTTCTATAGAATAAAGACTTCTAAACAGTCACATTTTTGTTTCTAATGATTTTGAAAACAATGAAAAAGGTGCTAATGCATACAAAAAGGGATTATTTGGATGCTTTTTATTTCTTTAGGAAAACAGCTACAAGTTTGAGGATCAATTCCCTAATATGTAACAGAACACAACTGAGAAAATTTATGTAACACGTGCAATGGTACTTAACAAAACCTTATTTTATGCTCTTTATCTATAAAAGCAGAAATTTTGCAATCAGACTTTTAAATAAAGTTTTACAAAGTAACATCCTAAAACGAGAGGCCATCAGTCAGCTGTCATTCTGTCCCCAAGTCTGGGTACCAAAAGTAGTGGTTTGAGTATTGTTTTTTTTATGGGGACACAGAAGACAAAACATGCCATCAGGCTCCCCCAAGCCTACCAGAGTCTCCATTACTACATGACACCCTCATGAAAGTGTTTATTACACTGAACAAAACTATACATCAATGACTGAATGTTAATCCTAGTTTTAGAAATGTCTGCACACTGTTCATGTATACATAAGTTTTAGTTTTCCATTTTGACTAACTTCTTGCTCCATTCTCCCAGTAATCCATAGATTACTTGTAATGGGAGAAGCACAAACTATTATTGAAATTTAAAGGATTACTTAAATTAAAAACAAATAACAATAAAAAAACCTAGCAGTACATACTACCAAAGTAATTGACCTACCTTATTTTTCCAGCTCGCTGGCAAAATGTACATTTAAGTTCCCATGTTTCTGAATCCCATATTGTAACTATTTCCTCAAAACTAACTGCTAGTAAAGAGCCATCTTCAGAGAAACAGCAGTTAGTTGCTTGATACTTGTGATAACTACCCACAAAGTCACAAGTCCAGCCAACAGCTTTTTCTGTGAAAATACAAGCCATAACAAAAATGGCATAAATATTAAATATTATAAGCAGAAAAAGAAAAAACAAAACACGAAAAAAATCCAATCCCCACAACTTTCCAGAACTGCTGATGTGATGTTGGTTCCCTTTCCTGGTGACCTCGAGCTCCCTTTACTGGAGCAGAAGGAGTAAAGCCCTTTTCACTGCACCTTAGAGACTACCTGGCACATTAACTCAAGAGTGCCATTCACTCTCCCAAATTTTAGTGAAAAAGAATGTAAAAAATGTAGTATGAAAGAAAATCTATTGAAACAAAGCAATAATTTATAGACTTCAATAAAGTAGAAACCATCTTTTCAAAAAGGTCATAAATCATGAAATATGTCACTTCTTAAAACTGGGTAATTTTTAATGCCATCTATTTAACTTACTATATATGTCAGAATCATCTGTTAATATCCAAACTTTGAAGTGACCATCTTTGCTAGCTGTGACCAATGTGGGTTTTCCATAGTTTTCCACATTACTGAAGCAGAGAGCTGTGATGTGGTCATCATGTGGCATGGTAATCTTTGTGTTCAGAACAAACCTAGCAGAAAGAAAACCACAAATGTATTCTTGTATCATAAAAGATACTATTCTGTCATGAGTCTTCTAATATCTGTACATTTTGCAATACCATCTTCAAACTGGGCAGGTGACTTAGGATGACAAAGAATCACATCTTTATCTTTAATACAGGATACAGAGTTCTAACACATCACCTGTGTCCCGGAATTTTATACAGATCATTATGCCAACTCACTGGAACAAAAGAAGTATAAGATAAAATGAAACATGAAAGTCTATTGTGCCAGACTCTGCAGGAAAATTACACAGGGTTTTGAGGTCTGTTTACATCTAAAAACAGACTACCACCACCATCATCAAAGCTGTGAAAGATTCCAGTTGTATCAAGAAAATATGAAATAAAAAATTACCTATTCAAACTGCCCTTATCATTGACTATCTTCAGTCAACCAAACTACCTTTCGGTTTGTTCCCAGCTTCAGACAGCAGTGCTGTGAGTGAAATATATGCTAGCTCTGAGTCCTTAAAAAGAGTACTGGGACAGCACAGACAGTGCTGTTGAAGAGTACATACAGGTTGTAAGAGTGATGACTAGGGGCAATCACTTAATTCTGAGTCTGTTTTCTTGCCTGTAAAATGTGGACCACGGGCTTATGTTACAATGTTCTTTAGAAATTTATCAGAATACTGGATACAAAAGCACCAAACCTAATTACTGGCACATAAGGATTTGATACACTCACACTCTGAAGTTAATGGAAGAACAAGGGAACAGCAGGGTTCTAATTGTGGACTTGCCTAGAATTGGGTATTATATTCTTAGGAGTATTAATTATTTTTCATGGTTCATCATTTATGTGATAAGATCGCATAACCTACAGAATGTTCACCAATACTTTTCAAAACAAAAAGGTAAATTAAAGGCCTTTTAGAAAAGCCCAGTCCCCAGCACTACATATATCATAAAGACTGACAGTTATAACTATAAAACAGGACCTCAAATTAGTATGGATTACCCTTGTGTTTTCTTGTTATAGGTCCACAGTTTCATTTGCAGTTCAAGTTCAGTTTCATTTTCTTGTCGTTGTTCCACGGTTGCAAGCCAATTACCAGAGCAGCCAAAGGCAGCCTTTGTTAGTTCAATTTGGATCAGACCATCATCATTGATATATTCTTGCTGTATAATATCTAACTGAAAGGGTTAAAAAAATTAAAATGTTCATTAATATAAGTTACCTTTAATTTATAGTAGTTATTCCTCTAGAAAAACTTTATATAAAACCTCAAGGCTAAATTTTCTACCACCAGAAATGAGTAGAAATAAACTTATAATCTTTGAATTAAAAAAAAAAAAAAAGATAAGCAATGGTCCACGGAGGAGGCTGGCCTTTTTATTTATGATTGACTTCTTAATCCCATTTCCTTGCCTACTTATGAAGAAATTAAGTGGCTACTACTGAGGAGCCTTCATCTGAAAAGCTCCAAGACCCCCAATGCTTTAGGCTGTTTTTAACTTTTGGAATGTTTACATATATGTAAGATATTTTGGGGATAGGACCCAAATCAAAACACAGATTTCAATTATGTTTTATGTGCAGTTAATACACATAGCCTGAAGGCAATTTTCTACAGTGCTTTTAGGGTATCTGTGTTGTGACTTGATCTACTGCATGAAGTCAGGTATGGATTTTTTCCACTTGTGATATGACATTGGTACTCAAAATTTTCAGATTTGGAAACATTTGGGATTGTGAGATTAGAGATGTTCAGTGTGTATTAAGCGTTCTAAGTGCCCATTTAGTAAATGCATTAACAGGCTTTGGGGGGAAAGGTTTAAAGGATATGGAAAGAAAGATAAATTATTTACTATGACTGAAATCTGTAAAGGGCACTGTGGGGCATAAGAAAAAGGTAGGACTGCGTTTGTCAGGATTAGGAAGTGTTCGTGCTTAATATACATGGAAAATTTAGTACATGAATGACACTTTTTGCCATAAAGCTGAGACAGATTTGTACTATCAGTGTTCATTTCCTTATCTTTGTAACTCAAAGGCACACGTGTGGGAGAGCAATGACTGTACTAGTCAATCACAGACAGTATCAGTCATGTTTAAGTATGTAAGCATAGGAACCAAGTATTAGAAGCTTCCAAATAAACCATAGGACCCTTGTATACTATAAAGAACTTTCATTAGTTTTAAAAGCCTAGCTATTGATCAAAATCTTACATTATATAACTGCTTATCACTCTGGAGAGAATAAAATTGCAGGTGACCGGGCTTTCCATTCAAAACTAAAGCTTTTGTTCTTGGGTCAACCATCAAACCAGTAGATATACTCCTATCTGCAAAAGAAGTGACAGACAATGACTGAATCACAGAAGCAATCCCTCTTTAAGATGCAGAGTTCCAATTCCATCAGCATCTGTAATACCTTTTACTAGGCCTTGAATTACTGCTGATGCATCAAGGTTTCGGTGAATAACTGTTATCTCTGTGGGTTAAAACAACAACAACAAATTAAATATAAACAGGTGAGAACATTAAGGTGAAGAAGTTACCAGAATTTTTATGTCACTTTGAAATATGCAAGAATACAAGCAACCCAGTAAATTCAGTTAAGTCAGTGTTACTAGGAAATCAGGACTATATTTTGTGAGTTAACTAAATAATTAGGAACGGGAACTTTCTTGTTAATGGTTTTCAAACCTATTTTTTTTTAATTCTATTTATTTTTTCATTTTATGTGTATGCATGTATTGCCTGCATGTAGGTAAGTACACCCATGTTATGCAATGCCCAAGGAGGTCAGAAGAAGCTGTTGGATCCCCAGGGACTGAAGTTACGGACAGTTGTTAGCTGCCACGTGGGTGTTGGGATCCAACCTGGGTCTTCTGAAAGAACAACCAGTGTTCTTAACTGCTGAGCCATCTCTCCAGCCCTGGTTTTCAAACCTTTTAAAGATTTTTACTTTTAATTATATATCTGTATCTATGTGTGTCTGCATGTCAGTATGTGTATGGGAGTCTAAGTGTACTCTGGAGGCTGGTGCTGAAATAACATTTGGTTGTGAGCTGCCTGACATGGGTGCTGGGAACTTGAACTCTGATCCTCTGGAAGAGCACATATGCTCTGAACTGCTGAGTCATTTCTCCAGCTCAATATTTAAGTTTTATAGATTTATAAGATTGTGCTTATAAAAAAAAAAATAGTTGGGGCTGGAGAGATGGCTCAGTGGTTAAGAACACTGGCTGTTCTTGCAGAAGACCTGGGTTCAAATCCCAGCACCCACATGGCAGCTAACAACTGTCTGTAACTCCAGTTCCAGGGGATCTGACAGCCTCCTCTGTCATTTATGGGCATTGCACGACATGGGTGCACTTACCTACATGCAGGCAATACACGCATACACATAAAATAAAAATAACAAATAAAATATATTAAAAAAAAGAGTAAATGTGTTTAAAAATGTTGGTTTTTGGTGGCACCTGGGGTAATAAGAGGGGTGGTGAAAATAGGAGGAATGGCGGGCAAACAAACAAAACAAGAACCCAAACCACTCACTAAATCTCACATTACCATTTATTAATTTTAGGTCCCTTTAATTTCCATTCCTGTAGAAGCTAACTGATTTCTAGCACTGTATTTCCTCACAGTAAGAAATTAAGACTTACTGTTATCAGAGTGAGAGGTGCAGAACAAATCTCCTGCCGGTGAGACGGAGATATGTTCAATAGTGGACCCTAACCGAGGGAGAAACTCCTTGTTCTTTTCTGTCCCATCTCGCCACTCCACCAGGACGCACTCACGCCCGCCACTCAGCAGACTGGTGCCTTTGCAAAGAAAGAGTGTGAAGAAAAAAATCAGCACTTTTATTTTTCCTACCATGGTAATGACTTCTTTAGACGCACACAGACAAGTGTCTTCATATCATTGCTAACTTGTTTTACTTACTTTCGGCCTCAATTTTAATTAATATAAGTGTACAGATTTAGAAGGTATAATGTGATGTTTGTATACACATTGTGATGCTTGAGTCAGGATAATTAGAACATCTGTGTTCGCAAGCATTTCTTTTCTTTGTGGTGAAACATTCAACTTCTCTTATAGTTACTGTATTATTAGCTAGGAAACAGTCAAATGAGTAAAGAAAAAAAACAGGTAAAACCCTCAACACCATTAATTAGCAGAGAAATGCAAATCAAACATCCATAATGAGGTTGAACCTGACTCCAGTCAGAATGGCTATTATCAGAAGGGCAAAAGAAAATACAAGATCACTGGCTGAGGATGTGGACAAAAGGGAATCATTTGGTAGTCATTATGGAAAAAAAATGTTGGCTTCTCAAAACACAGAATCACATGTGACTGCAATCTCCCTACTAGGCATCTTACTTGAATGAAATCAATATGCTGAAAAATATTACTTATTAGGTTTATGCTGCACATTAAAACTTAGGTTCAATGAGAAACATGAATAGCTGTGCTCAGCCCAAAGAAAGCACTACAGGACTGATCACAATACTTAAATACCAGTAGCTTTGGTATAGAAGTTGTTATGGTTGGATTTAGTAACATAAAGTTTATATTTTATATTACTGTATGTTTACAATCATTCCTTGGCCTGATTTGGAGAGAGGCCATAGCAGAGAAGGAATGAAGGACAGAAAAAATGAGCTTAGATGAGAAGACACTGCAGGGGACACACAAATCAATACATGTGCACACATGCACCAGCACACCAAAACCACTTAGTTTTCGGAGGTGAGTGGAGAGGGTGAAGAAGCAGCCTGTATTTTTATCTGTGGGGTTAATTCCTCTTCGTTTCTCTTTCCTGTCTCAATCGCTAGGGTCACAGCAGTAATCCTTCATTATTTCTGTTAGGTTGGGTCTCTCCTGCAGACACAGGGCACCATTCCCTAAAGCGTCAGCAGGCTTCTACTTGCTGGGCTCTAAGGAGATAATCCTAAGTAAACCTCTAAAGAGCCAGAACATATGGTGCCATCTAAGACTTGTCCTGCCAGTCTCCAGGAAGACCGAGAGAAAGAAAAATCACGTCCCCATCTTCTTGTTTGTAGGTATATGTTCCCTAGCACACTGGCACAGTAAACTGACCTGACCCTCACCACAGGGGTGTGGGTGCTAAAGGTAACCAAAGACAAAGTATATTTCATACTTCTGTTGAAGACAGAATTTCAAGTGAGTATTATTTTTACCTTCATGTATATGTCTCACACACATAACAGGGTCTGAATTTAAAATAGGGGAATACTGATCAGACAATCTGTCAGTTAAAAATGTGAGATTTTAAATTGTACCCAAGTCCTAATCTGGGTTACTAGCCATGAGACTTTAGGCTATTTAATAATCATGTCAAAGCCTCACTTCCTTTTCTGCAAAAAGAAAATTAATGACATGTATTTCACAGGACCAATGAAGGTTAGATGATAGATAAAAACACTGGCGGTTATCTGCATCTGAAAAACTACAGCAAAGCTATAGATTATAAACATAAGCTATGCAGACACCTATTTTAAAAAATGTAATATACTTTACATAGTTTAACGAAGACTGTCACAAGTATATACTTTGGGACTCTGAATGCAAAAGCATGTATTACTATTTTGCGCAAAGCCCAAACGAAAGGATCATAAACAAGTTTCACAGTTTGACTCATGTAACTTGGTTTTTGCCACAAGGTCTCACTAAATGGCTCAGGTAGGCCTTGAACTCTTGATGATCCTCCTGCCTCAGCCTCCCAAGTAGTGGGATTATAAGCACACACCACACCTAGTGACTCATGCAGTTTTAAATCTCAAACTATAAATGATATGAATTAAAACATTTGACTAAAGTTCCTTTTAATTAAAGCTGTACTTACCTGTCACTGAAAAAGCCAAATCCATAACCATGTCATGGTGCCAATGTAAGCATGTGTACGTGTACTTCCTGTCATCGTGAAAATTCCTCCTATGGGACAAAAAAAATTTATAAACCTTAGGAGTTAATCACAAAAATAATGGCCAAGTGTAATTAATTCACAGTTTTGAGTTTTCTGGTGTTAATGTTAAGAAATACCTTTCTATTTCTGAGCAAAGTTCCTTCTATAAGCAACTTTATTTAAGGTATGCTACTAGATACTCAATATTGTCACTTTCCTTCTTTAGTTAAAGGGCTGAGAGAAAAGCTGTCTTCAATAAAATGTTTACAGGTGACAGACTGCTTCATTCCTTCAGGAACTCTACCACAGTCAAGCATGAGAGGAGAGCACAACAGTGGAAAATGGAAGTTGCTAACAAAGCCCAGTCCCTGTCAGCAGTGCCTTTCAGCATGGCCCTTTCTTCTGGACACAGAGATAGTGCCCCCTTGCAGCACTAATGTGAAACAACAGACAAGTGATCACATGCTTTGTGGAGTTCACTGACCAGAGACGGATTTTGCCATCCATGTGACCAGATGCAATGCAGTCTTCTTTTGGGTGGCACACTACACATGTGAACGTGTTCTTAGCATTCTTCTTATTTTTGGTTGATGGTAAAGTAAAACTAAGAGAAAAACAAAAAACAAAAACATTTTCCCTTAATTATGAGTCAAGCATTCTATTTGGTAATCATGTATTAATATACAGTACAAACTTCATGTGACCAATATCCTATAATAACTTGTCAAAGGAAGCCACTGAAATTTAAGTAATGGAATTTGGCCTGGGTACAACCTGTTCAAGTTTGTCACTGAGCCTAAATCTCAGTATTAAAGCTATGGCCACGTCTATTAAAAGTTTTATCTGAGACAACAGGCCTAATGTGTCTAAAGGGACAAATTCAAAGGATAAATATACTTGCTTTAAAGTTTAGGCTGTTTCCTCCTACTCTTAAGCTGAGTATCGTCAATTTTCTGCTTCTGAAGAAGTGAGGATCCTTACATGCCACAAATGAAATAAATGTTAATCTTAGAAGCGTAAATGGGAAGAGGACAGTGTCTAAGTGACTACACAATGCTCAGCACCAGCCTGTCTAAACATGGTCTCTTATTCTTCCTTACTCTATTAGGTAGACACTGCTTCTACTTTAAATATATTAATTTGAAGTACACAGTGGTTCAAATGAACTAAACTTGACCCATTTTAAACCCCAGTAACCCAAATGCTCATATTCACTCCTACAGTCAATGAGAATCATATGCTTAAGTCTTTTAAATCTACATCCAATTCTGAAACCAAGTATGCTTTCAGATGTATGTATAGGGCTTTGGGTTGGAAAAGACTCGGTTTTTGTAACTAAGATGTGCATCCTCTACCTACTGTGGGTTAAAAACTGGACTTATATACTCTCTTGAAACACAACACTGGAAACAGGTTTGGACTCTCTTGTATCAAGCACTTGAGTAAATAACACAAAGTTAACAAAAGGAATTCTTACTTTGCTGTTTTTTTCCTTTTGAAAAAATACACAGACAAGTAAAAGTCCCGCACTGCAGCCACATATTCTCCCTGGTGATTAAAGCAGAAGGTAACATTCACAATAAGAGCCAAGCCTCTTTAAGACTGCATTACTATAAAATGACATGCTATATTTTAGTAATGGGAAAAATAATTTCTTGTTTAAAATAAGATGAAGTTAGGTCCTAAATCCTAAAACTGGATCTACATTTTTTCCATTCAGGCATACACACAATGCCATGTGCTGTTTGACAGCTATGTGTGTCTACACAACTGCCACCACCAGACAGACCTAGATGCACTTCCTTCATCTCAGGAGCATCCCTCATTCCTCCCCAGGGTCCTAGCTTTCATAAGCAACTATCCATTTCTTTGCTTATTTCCCTGTTAGGTTGGGACTCTTGCTGAACATGTTTATTATTGAAAAAAAAAAAAAATCAAACTTTGAAAGTTCATATACACTTTTATGTGGATCGTTGATTCCTTTTTATTGTTGAGTCAGTCGTGTTCAACCGAATAAAACAGACATCAGACATCACAACTGTGGTTTGTGGCTGGTTGATGACTACTTGGGTTGCTTATGCTTCAGTGACAGTGAATAATCATTGCTCCTGCACACTCATTTTGTGGTCACATTTTCATCTCCCTGCCCAGAGTGGAATGGTTGGGCAAAGGTCTTTATGTTCCACATCTTGCCAACATTAGCAATTCTAGTGGAGAAGTGGAATCTAATTGTGGTTTTAACTGAATTGATGACTAATAATACTGGAACACTGAATTTGACAATGTTAAAGCTGTTTGAGGAATTAATTCTTTTGAGAAAAATGACAAATGATGCCACAAACCTTAAGGTTAGTGGGTCTTTTGATGACTGTGATTCAAAAATAATTAACAGATAGCCAAAAAATGCTATGAGCACACAAAGTACTGGTCAAAATATGTTTTAGTAAACACACACTACAATGTTAAGCTGCAAAGAGAAAACATAAAAAGATTTCTGTCACCATGTAGGTGATCTTGAGTCCTCTGCAAGAGCAGCTAGTGCTGTTAACTGCTGAGCCATCTTTCCAGCTCTCTAGTGGTTTTTATATGAAACAAAGAAAGTCTTAAACATCAAGCATTGCTATTTTGGGGAAAACTGTAAAATGGAAACTAGGCAGAAGAACATACAAAATAAGGATGGCACCAAAAAACCCACACCATAAATATGATATGTACTAAAACAATGTTAAACACTTCTTAGTTATTAACAAAACCATAGTAATCCATTGTACTATTAATGTTCAATGGGGAACTTGCAGGGAGAATAGACTGTATACATAAAACACAAACCAAGGAAACAAATTTACCTCATTTCCAAAGGCAATGCACTTGGGTGAATGGTTTACATAATCCAAAACAAAGGAGAGTTCTTTAGCCTCTACTTCCTGGTGTGATGATTTAGGCAGTTTCACTGACACCAGCTGAAATATGTCTAGCAAAAGGAAGGCATTCATTACAGTTTCTCTAACCAAAGTGAATGCATGTTTCTAGTCATATACAACTGTAATCTGCACTCTAGAACACCAAGACTGTAACTGTAGGTCATCTTGAACAAAATTTTCACGTCTGACTTTTAATTTGATATACGAGTTTAAATGGAAGCCTAAGTCCACAACTCACTCACGCCCCATATATTTAGAAATAGAGTTGGGTATGGTGGCCCACGCCCTTAACCTGAGAGGCAGAGGCAAAAGCAGAGGCAGGTGGATCTCTAAAATTGAGGCCAGTCTGGTGAGAGTGAGTCCAGGCCAGCTGGGGCTATAGGGAGACCCTGTCTCATAAAAAAGACCAAAAGGAAAGAAACAAAAAACAACTTATACAGGTGCATTTTACACCCCCAAGTACTAGGTCAAGGCTTAAAATGGAACTAAACTATGAGTACTGAACAGTAAACTGAGCAATCAAAAAGAAAAAGCCATTCAAAAGAGCTTTCTGAAATGTGGGGCTAAGGAAATGACTTAGTTGGTCAAGTGCTTGCTTGTTGAGCAAGCATGAGGCTTCAAGTTCAAGCCCTGGCAATCACATTTAACAACAAAAACAGTCAATACAGTGGTACATGCCTATAATCTTAGGGCTGGGAGAAAGAGGCAGGACCACCCCTGGGGCTTGCTGGCCAGCTAGTCTGAACCTGAGAGTTCCAGATGCAGTGAAAGACCCCACCTCAAAAAATAAGATAAGACTGCTGGGTATGGTGGTGCTGCACACCTTTAATCCAAAGACTTGGGAGGCAGATGCAGGTGGATCTCTCTGAGATTCAGACCAGTCTGGTCTACATAGGGAATTCTAGGCTAGCTGGGGCTACAAGGAGACTCAGCCTCAAAAAACAATAACAAAACAAACAAAAAAAGATGAAGAGTGACAGAAGAACACCTGATCCTGGTGTCAACCTCTGGCCTCAATGTAAGCATGCATGCACACCCACACACACATTATGGCTTGTTATTACAGTCACAGATAATCTACTTTGCTATAATATTGATATGCTCTATTCATAGATCATTATTTTTTTTTAAATTGGGATTTATTTTTATGTGTATGAGCGTTTTGTCTGCATATATGCAATTGCACCCATATTTTTCAAAGCCTACAGAGGCCAGAAGAGGACAGCCAAATCCCTTGGAACTGAAGTTATGGATGGTTGTTAGCCGCCATGTGGTGCTGGGAATCAAATCTGGGTCCTCTGCTCACTCTTCTTCCTCCAGGAACCTTTCTGGACCATTTACTTAGTATGTTTCAGCAAAACCAAAACAAGACAAAAACCAAAAAAAGAACAAAATCACGAGGCGTGCCACTTAGCTAATAATGCATGAGCCAGTCCAGCTGACTGTCTAGGAATCATATTAAAGCTGCTTTGAATTTTATGAGGGGAGTGACAATCCTGAATTCCAGAATCAGAAATTTTATTTGAATAACTTCATGTCAATATTGTTATTTCAAATTCTCTAATGGTGAATAATTATCTGTAATTGCTGACAATATTCTAGTAATTCCTAAAGTGTTCTGATATGGTATAGTTGCAAGGTAACAATGTTCATAAGGTAGTAAATATAATAACAATTCCGCCACACTACTGATTCTTAACATTAACTTATATCCGCCATTTGCTATAATGATTCAACATCAACAAATTCAACAAGTAAAAGGACAGTAATGCTTTTAAGGATGACAGGACTTAAATTCAGTAGAAAGACAAATTCTGCAGCTCCGAAATCCATTATCATTATAGTCCCACTGATGCCTCAGAACTGACAGAAAGCCTCCACATATGGAGGTAATTTAAATGACAACTCCAAACCTCAGTGTCAGATTAAAACCACAATGTTAAATTTTGAGAAACTGAAAAATATAGATCTACTTGATGTCTTATAAAAACAAACTAAGTGCATTAATAGGATACCTGGTTCTTCTTTACTTATTGTAACAAAGACAGAATCTTCAGCTTGGGAATGAGTAAAGAGGGCATGAAGTTTAGGTCCAACAATGAAAGTCTGAAAGATATAATGCATCACATTATGTACTGTTAAGTTCCTCCAGTAGAACATTAAGTTCCACGGAGCAGGGTTTAAGGTTTTCTCACTGCTGTTTTCCCAACAGGAAGAGACTACCTGGTCTAAAGAGGTAAAGTACATATCTGTTGAATAATGTTTTGATACATATATATCTACCTGACTCTAGTGTTGTATCCCAGTGATTAAGCACATATAAAAATGCCTGTCTAAACTACATATTACTGCATTAAAAAAATATTTTATTATTTTTTAAATTCTTTATGTGTATGAGTGTATTGCCTGCATGTGTGTAAATGGACCCATGTTGTGCAATGCCCGTAGAGCCAGAGAGAGCATTGGCTACCCTGGAACTGGAGATATAGACAGTTGTTAGCCTCCATGTGGGAATTGAACCTGGGTCCTCTTAACCACCGAGCAATCTCTCCAGCCACCAATTACTCCATTTTTAAATGTGTATTTTGGCAGGGAAAAATACTCTCCTGTTTGTTTAAATTTACACTTTCAAAGAGATTAAGCACCTCTTCATGTCTATTTGTTCTCTGTATTTCTTTTCTGCTATGCTCAATTTTTTTTTCTGTTGGCCTATCAGGTTTTCCTCATTGGTGTTCAGCATGTATTTAAATATTAGGGGTAATATTCTTTGGTAGATTATTTTCTCAGTGTTTTGTCTTTCTGTGTTATGAGCTTAAACCTCTCTAAGGATTAGGCTCACAGAGAAGCATTGTCTAACATGATGCCATGCCTTTTCATATAAGGAAAACTAAAGCACATCCACATACCTTTATCAAAATGCCATCAAGATAGTCCCACAGCTTAATTGTGCCATCAAAGGAACACGAGTAAAGCTAAAGGGGAAAAAACAGTGCAAAACAGATTAAAAATAGAATTCCATGGATATCAAATGAATAATTAAAGGCATTTTTGTTTATTAATTCATTGTTAGCCTTAAAGAGAGTGTACAGGTTTAATATTTCCATTTAAAAAGCTGACCTCTGTGGGTATTGTATGACATAGGTGTACTTAAATATATGCAGGCAATACACTCATACACACAAAATATTTAAACATATTTTTAAAATATCCAATCCATTAAGGACCAATAGTTTCAAAAATGCTATAGGAATTAGTATGCACTTATTTGTCACAGAATCCATAGACTGTTGTCAAGACACTGTGTTTTGCTTGCATGTATGTAAGTGCATCTGGTGCATGCTTGGTGCCTGCAGAGGCCAGAAGAGGGGTGTTGGATCCGATGGGACCGGAGTTGTGAATGGAACCTGGGTCTTCTGCAAGAACAGCCAGTGTTCTTACCACTGAGCAATCTCTCTAGCCCCACAAATTTCAATTTAACCAAAGAACTTTTTTTTTCTTTCCTTTTTCCTTTTTTGCTATTACAAACATGCAAAGGATACACATGGTAAAAAACTGTGTAGTGTCCTCAGAAGACAGGATTAAAAAGTATACCTGAATCCCTTTGATTTTTAAAAGTAGCTCATTTGATTTTGGAAAGAAGGTACCTGTGTTACTATATGCTCCATTTCTTTTATGAGTAGTAATACAAATCCTTTTAAAATAAAGCAACAGCCTCCAAGTTGCTGTGACTATTGCAGAACTTGTTAAAAAACTATAGTAAGAGCAAAATATTGAGAAAAAAATTTTGTTTTAAATTATTTTTTTAATGTGTGTTGAGTGCTGCATGTATATATGTGCATCACATACATGCCTGGTGCCCACGGAGGCCAGAAGGTAGCACTGGCTTCCCTAGAACTGGAGTTAAAAAGGCAATTGTGAGCCACCACAGGGTGCTGGGAACCAAAACTGGATTGTAAAGGTTTACTGAGCCAGAAACCACTGAGCCATCTCTCTAGTCCTTGAGACAATTTAAAATTTTTGTTGAAACTTTAAGAACCAATACATCTTTGGATATTCACAGTGCCAATGCTAGATGGGACCCAAGAATACCTAGAATCAAGAAATCCACTTAACTGTGCCTAAATTTCAGAAACACATATAGCAAAGAACATCCTTCTCAAGTAACACCCATTAAGCATCCTTTGGTTGCAATCCTTCACAGGATATTCTATGGCAGTGTAGTTTTAGGCTGTGGTTTTCCTTCTAAAAAACCCGAATAAGAAAATCATTAGTTATTTCCTTGATCATTTCTGTAAAGTACCCCATGTGGTTATTTAACTTTGATGTTTCTGTCAACGATAAGGCCAATGCTAACATGTTCATTTACAAACTGTCTTGTACCTGCAGATGGTTGTTGGGATTGAGGAGGATTCCAGACACCAGGTTTCTGTGCCCATGCAGTATGTGGACACACTCTTCTGTTGCTGTGCTATAAACTTTAATAAAGTCTCCAGAGACACAAAAGATGTACCTGGAAAAAAGAGAAAGAAATCTGAGTTTCTCATCTTCTATAGATGATATAATCTTTTTATGGCCTATCATAAAGATGATAACATACAACAGAGGTATCTTTCAACACTGTTTGAGGACTGCATATTTAAATCTATGTGTTGTTTAAGCTTATGAGGTCACTGAAGATGAACTTATCAACTAAGACAGAAAAGATTATGAGTTGACACAGAATCATCCTACAGTCAGCCAGCCAGTCATCCAACAAACAGCTTCCCCAAGTTCTCTGCTTGCTACATGATTGCAGACACTGGTATTCGATTACTGTCAACTACTACTCTTCAATGGTTCTGCTAGCAGCAGTATGCCCCCATATTCCTAAGAGCTCCATAGCTGCCTGGAGACATCAGCTTAGAAAAGCTCTGCTCTAGATAGTGAGGTCCAGGCCACTCCTATAGAGCAAAATAAAAAGACTTTATTATCAGTTCCTTTTCTAATTGCTGAAATACTGATTTTGCTTTGCATCTTTCTCTCACATACAGAAGCTACTTAATTACCCAAAGTGGTTAAGCTAGAGTAATGTTTGCTTGACTAGTTTCCTAATAGATACTACCATAAGAAAAAGTTCTGAAAAGAAGTTTGCACTGTGCTATTGTATCTCTTATTTTCTCTACATACTATGGAAGGGACAAACCAGAGTCCTCAGTTAACAATTTTCTATGCCCCCAAAGCAACCTGCATGTGACTTTATCCTAGGAGTAAATGTGATGCTGACTGGTATTGCTATTACCCCATTTTATCAAATCTATGATACTGGATTGTTTATGTTTCACATCTTTAAAGTCAGATATGCCTCATAATTGATGGTATCTTCTAAAAGCTATTGGCCAGGAGCAATGGCTATATGCCTAAAAGGAAGAGCAACAAGCAACTGTAGTATGTGGTCTTCTTCATGGCTGGAGCCACGACCTTGAGTACCTTAGTTCAGAGGCTAACGCCTGTAGCTTGAACCATTCCTAAGCCTTCCCTACCTCCTAGGAGTGGTTCTTAATGTCAAGCTTCATACTCACGCCAAGTGAATTCTGAAAATTTGACCATATCCCCTCTCAAATAAAGCTAAAATAAAATACCTCCTGTGAGAGGAATTGCTTTGTCACTTAACCACTGCACTCTAGTCAAATGGTTCACAATTCCAGCCATTCTTCAGCTGCCCATCAATATCAAGGGGTCCTTTAGACAATGCTTCCCTGAGAATGCTTCCTACAGGTGAAGACCTATAAAAGACCTCAGAAGATGCACACTGCTTCTGATCAGCTTCCTCAGTTAAGAGGGGGATTTTCTCTTTTCCTTGCTCCTCCACGGAGAATAACTGCTTCAATTATTTGAATGCAAGTCCTCAAAAGCAACTCTGTCTCCATGCTTTTGTATATTCTGTCATCTACCTAGAACATGTTACTTTCTTCTATTCCCTGGGAGCAAGATTTCTATACCTTTCTACCCTGTACACCTTTCATCTAGATTCCACTAATGTTAGCACTATACATTTTTCAAAACTAAGAAAATAACATCAGTATACAGTATGTGCTTAGTAACTAAAAAGGTGACTTCCCAAGGGTAACTCTGAACCTACTATGGAACAGATGAAAGTCCCGTTTCTGTTTCTCAAATGCTGCGATTACAGGCATGTACACCATGCCCAGCCACTGCTGCTGTTTCAGAACTGAACGCTGTAGCATAGTATGTTAGCTGGTTAAAACTTCTCATAATAATCTATGCCAAAATTCCAGTCTTTCCTTCTTTAACATGATTATATCTTCAAGATTTAGCTCCAGGGTTGAGGAATGCTGGTTAGGGGTAGAGCCTGTGCCTACTAGCATGCTAGCACAAGACCCTGGGTTCAATTTCCAGCCCACAAACCAATATAGAACATCCAGTCTGGGGGATCTTTCCCCTGAAAGAATTCCCTGCTTTTTACATTCATTCCAAATCAGCACCAATCCTGATGTGCTCAGCTATGCCAGAACACCCCCAACATGGTATTTATGATTATACAATGTTTTTAGCTTATACCAGACTGTGAGCTCCTAGAGGTGAGAAAGGGGAGTACATTTATTATAAAGAATGTAATGGCAGAAAATGCTATGTTAATTTTTAATTTTAAAAATTTTATTATATTGTGTGAGTGTTTTGCCTGCATGTAAGTGTACCATGTGCATGCAATGCCCATAGAGTCCAGAAGAGGGCATTTGATCTCCTAGAACTGGAGTTATGAATGGTTGTTAGCAGTCAAATGGTGCTGAGAACCACCAAGTCCTCTGCAAAACAGTCAGGGCTCTTAACTGCTCAGATGTCTCTCTAGCCCTGAAAAAATATATTTTTAGATTAAATATAAATGCTTCAAAGGCCAGCTTTACAGGTACTAGGCTGAGTGACTTTTGAGAATTTACTTAACCTCTCTCAATAGTGTTCTCCACTGTAAAGGGCAGTCAGTGCTTTCCTATAGAGTTTAAGTCAAGCAATGCATGCAATGCAAGCTTAGCATACATACGGAATAAGCACTCAGTAAGCAGAGATAAGACCTAAACCTTTCAGACAGAAGGAAGGCTTGCAAAGGACCTGCCATAATGCCAGTCACATAGTACTCATCTGTGCTGATTAGATGGATAAGAAAGAAATCACAATGGTTTAAGTGGAAACCAGAATTTACATTAAGCTCAGAAGGAGGTATAATTTGAAGGTTGTAAGGGGAAATATCTATCAAGAGTTCTGCCCAAGACTAGGAATGTGGGTCTGGCTGTTATGACAGTAACATTTCAGGTAAATTTTTTATAGCACCAGTATCCAGAACAATCTGCAGGTAAAAATATTTCAAGTGGGACATTCCTTTGCAAGTATCTTATGGTAATGTCAGGTACCTCCCTTATTCCTTCTTATGAGGTAAGTAGACCCTTGTGTGGAACTTTTCAGATGATATTCAAGTCTTTGACAAGTTCCTTATTATCCTGATTTGCTAGAGAAATATCTTTATTTACTGTCTCTACAGATGGTTAAAAAAAAAAAAAAAAGTAGCTGAATCCTGACCAAGTTCCCCAAACTTTAGTCCTCATCTGCCTGGTTTTTTAAATTTTTATCTAATTTTCATTTTATGTGTGAGTGTTATGCCTCCATGTATGTAACTGCACCTGTGTCACGTCCTCAGAGGCCAGAGGAGGAAGCTGAATCCCCTAGAACTGGAATTATAGACAGTTGTCAGCCACCATGTGGGTGCTGGGATTTGAACTAGAGTCTTCTGCAAGAGCAATCAGTGCTCTTAAACCCTGAGCCATCTTTCCAGCCCCAACCACCTGCTTGTTTATAGGAACTGTAAAGTCCAGGACCAAAAAGTGAACTTGGCTCCTTCTTTCCATTAATAGGAAGTGTAAAACCACTCATTGTAAAACCCTGCCCCCCCCCCCCCTTTTCCACCTCCAGGACAGTCTGAGTTCAGAAGAAACTCATTTCTTGCTGGGATGCTTGCAGTATCCCTGTCTAGTGTGTACTAGTCAGTAATCCTGGCTCCATTCTTCTCCCACTATTTTCCTGGGCTTTAAGCTGTAATGATACTGACCTGACGTACAAGGCTTACTCTACTTCCCAGCCCCCAAATTTCAAGTAACTCTTTTTGTCTGAAATGCCCTGCCCAGTATCTATGGTGATAAAAACTCTGGGCAATGTTGGGAACTGTTTTTAGTTTCCTGCCCATGTGAAAGTTTGGACTATAACTTCCTGTTCTATGTCAGCCCTGTCCCTTGAGGATACTGACCAATCCATCTCTGATTGCTCCATTCTCCAAAACACAAGACAGTTCACTGTTTCCAGAGAAATATTCTTGAAGAAATAACATCATACAACTCCTGCCCCTTATCTAGAATCTTAAAAAACAAAACACTGTTTTTGGACTAAATAGCAAAAAGAACTGGATCCGGTTTCCCTTCTAACCTTATTCTCTAGCTCCCTTCACATACCACTGCTAATTGTACTGATCTGTTCAATATAAATAGGTTTCTAAGAGGGCCTGGTGGCACAGGCCTGTAACTCCAGCTACTTGGGAATGTGAAGCAAGAGTATTGCAAGAACAAGGGTTCCATGGACAACAGTCAATTCAAAACCAGCCAAGGCAATGTGAGACCCTGACTCAAAAGAAAAGCAGACAAAACAAGCAGGGGTGGGGTGGGCAGAGTGCTGGGAAGCAGAGCTGATCTGTAAACTGCTTGCCTAGTACAGGGATGGCCTTAGATTCAGTTCCCAATACCACAAAATCAAAACACGAAACAAAGTAAAACAGCACCTGCCTACCCCTGCCTACCTTTGTGGTCTTGGGTCATGTTCCCACCTGGGAGGCCCTTTCATCCATCTCCTTTTGCTAAACACCATCTAGGTCTAGCCAAAATATTCCCTCAGCAACCTCCAACTTTCTCACTGTGAAGTAATCGCTCCTTAAAAGTTCTGAGGGTTTGAAACACCTGCTACCCACTTTCCTATTCCTCACAGACAGTAAGTTCCTTGAGGCAGGATCAATATTTGAATTGTCTTGGTTTTACAGTCAACTCAGCTAGTTATACATAAGTTGACAAATACTTAAAAAAAATGAACGGTCAGACTTAGCAAATGAAATGGGTGATAGACCTCATAACAATTAAGATACAGTACAATTCATTGGAGGAAGAGACTGGAAAAATGGATGAGTTTGAAGAGGCAGAACTCTGACAACTTCAAGGTTGTTGTTTTCCTCTGATTCATAAGAGAATATCCCCTTTCCGTTGTAAGACTATGGACTTGTGTGTGTGTTTGTGTATGTGTGTGAAAGCTCCTTCCATCATGTATGCATTCAAAAAACTATTTGCCATCCACTCATAAACAGAGTATTGTGGGGAATTATGCTTTCTTAAAATAGAATACTTGGTGGCCCAGGCCTTTAATCCCAGCATTCAGGAAGCAGAGGCTGGGGGATCTCTGTGAGTTGAATTCCAGTCTCATTTACATAGAAAGTCACAGACTAGGCTGGGCTACACAGTGGGTCCCTGTCTCAAAATAACATGGAAACAAAAATCAAAACAAAAATCTACAATACCTACTCCTCCATGGAGGTGTTTTTTTTTTTTTTTTTTAAAGAAACTATCATTCTATTCTTAACAGCTTTGAAAACGCTATGTCTAGTACAACAAATCACGTCTAGATGATACAATGCAGCAACGGGAGTGTCAGCTGATCTGCAGTGGGCTATAAATACCAGGCAGCGCTTGCACGAGATTATTATGTATTGAGACATTAAATGCTCTCCAAACTCCGGGAGACATATTATCTCCTACGAAGATGACAACAGTTTTCATACGAAGCTTTAAAAAAAAAAAGTTGTGAATAATCCCTTATCTGAAGGGAGGAAAAGAGCTAGGGAGGGAGGGGCGAGAGCTCCAGAACGTAGAGTCATTTAAGGTTTAGCAATTCCAAAACATTCCCTACTCTTTCGCAGGGATACTCTTTGTGGGTACTGCAAGGGAGGAAGGTACCCAGGCCTAGGGTCCCAGCCATCCAGGCACCTAGTCTATTCTGGACGTGGGGACCCACCCTGAGTCCTCAATCTTCCCGGAGAGCCGAGGCGCACCCCAGCCTGCGGGGTCTCGCGTGCTTCGGTTCGGAGCATGCGCACCCCTCCGCAGAAGCTGGAGCAGTCAGCCAGTTCCCGGCCCAGCCCCCGGTGCCCTGCGCCCAGCCAGCCCCGCTTACTTAGAATCTGCAGAGAACACCGCTCTCCTGAAGTTCAGCTGGCTGCCACCGCAGCGAACCACGCGGATGCTCCCCTCCTCCACCATCTTCGCGCAGGAACTACCACAGGGGTCCCGCCCCAACTTCCTCCGCGGGGTGACGAGCTGGGCGTGTTTTCTAGTCCGCAGGTCCCTCCGGGGGATTCTCTAGCTCCAAGACTCTATGGTCCGGCTCGGCGCCTATGCCACCATCTTTTGTTTGGGCACCGCCAACCGTGGAAAGCTTAAAATACGAATTATACCAGATACCACGACACTTATCTAACACAGATATCATTCCGTCCTCGTCCCTCTGACGCTGTAGATTTTGCCAGAAGCGGAAGGTGAGCTCCACGCCTCCCACCCACGGCCTCGCCTTTGCCGTCACTGTGATTGAGCGCGCGAAGATGACGCGATCATCCCGCGCCAGCCGGTCCTTGGGTGGTCCTGTTGTGTGGTGGGAAGAACACTCTTCTTGGGCACGGTTTTTGCCCTTCCACGCCAACCTACGGCTGCTCTTTGGGGTGCCTCTGTGAGCATCACTAAGTCTACAGAATCTCTTCAGCGCTAAACGCCCTGCCTTCTTTGGCAATGTAGTGCCTCCTCCGGGATTCTAAATGTACTCCGGTGTCGAGGGCAAATGCTCTCGCAGGCCTGTTTTTGCGCCCCAACTCCGGATAGTCCTTGCCTGCAGCTCTCTGGTTTGCTAAGGATTGTTTTGTGTCTGTTGCTTTGCTTTGCTTTTAGCCTGAACTCTGAAGATGTTGATGCCTCTTGACACTTTATCTCCCTCGTCATGGTCTCTGCACATGAGGAAGCCTTTGTGTGTGGAGTAACTCATCGTTGGTACATATATCTATACCTATAGATATATGTGTGTATATATATGATATATATGATATATGTATGATATATATGATATATATATCCTTGAGACAGGGTCTCCCTGTACTCCCAGCTGGCCTGGAACTCACTATGTAGACCAGGCTGGCCTTCAAACTTTGCCCCTGCCTCCCAAGTGCTGGGATTGAAGACGTGCGCCCCCACGCTCACCATCATTTGATACTTATCACCTGTACTGATCAGCTCCATGTGAGAGTCACTGATATCTTAACTATAACCGAAGCAGAAGCTTTGTAAGTTTGAAGCCTACCACAAATTAGTATGTTTATTCGTAGTAGAAAACTATTCTAACAAACTTCGAAACATCTTTAGACACAACTGCAAAAAATCAATAATTTACTTTTTGTTGAGTGCAGCATGTGGCAAATGCTCAAAGCTTTATTATATTCGGAGCCAGAGCTAGACAAGGAGACAGTGATTATTATGGTTTATCTCAAATTCCAGAGAGCTTTCCTTTCTTTCATGATTATGATATGATTTGTCATAGTGGAGGAATAGAGGCTATAGACTTTGTTTGATCCCCTCCCACCCCCTAGACTGTTGATGTCTAAATAATAAATCTTTTAGACTTTCTTAGAAACTTTGAAATCCAATATATGCTTACTATGTTCTGAACCATTGAATAAAATGAAACTATAAAATCAGTTTTGACTTCATTTGTTTTACTGCATGAATTTTGTTTAAATTGCTTGAAAATGAATCAGAAATCCTGATTTGGAAAAAGCTAGCTGGCTTCATAAACCTGTGGGAGGATGATGATAATGATGATGATGATGATGATGATGATTATTATTATTATTATTTGGTCTTTTTTTTGAGACAGTTTCCCTGTAGCCCCAGCTGTCCTGGAACTCACCTGGAACTCACTATGTAGACCAGGCTGGCCTTTAACTCACAGAGATCTGCCTGCGTCTGCCTCCCAAGTGCTGGGACTACAGGTGTGCGCCACCACACCCGGCCTGGGAGGATTATTTTTATACAATTTAATATCCTAAAATGGCCTATAAATAATTTTTGTTTTGATGTTGCATGATCATTTAGGAACCAAATCATTTTATCTGTAATGGCTCACTTTTATGAGAGAACAGGAAGGCTAACAGCCAGTCCATGGCTGGTGCAATGGTCCATTGTTTCCATGAGGTTGATAGAAGACAGCCCATGGCAGAAGAGAAACACATTCAAGTAATTCTGTGGAGTGGCAGCTAGAGCTGGATACAGATACCAGGGCATTTCAATTTATATACACCCATAGCACAGTTGAAAAGTTGGTCTAGAAGTACAAAGACGTGGGCAGTGTGTTGAGAAAACTCAATTGTGTTTCTGATTGGGTGGTGGGAAAATGGGAACAGTTATTGTAAAAGAGTCTGACCCCCACAGAACATCCAAGGAACGATTCATAGGTTAAGGTACATGTCCTTCTCTACAAAGACACATTTACAACAAAACTTATCTGAGGGTGATTCTGACTCTCAGGGCTACTTGTTTAAATATTATGTAATATTATTGAATATATCATGTGTTATATCAGCAACATTTAATTATGTGTTTCTCCAGTGTTCTAGACCTTATGGCTACTGTTTTTAAATTTTCTTTTGAAGTTTTGTTTTAGGTAGGTAAGGGAAGAGGTTTCTCCAAATTTCATCTCTATTGCTTTTTTAGTTTGTCCACAATGTGTTAATAGTAAACAGTTTATATAGAGAATTACATGTAATAAACAAAAGGTGATGTTATACAAGAGTGTAACTGCTTCATATAACACCCTAATGCTACGATAGTTAAATGTCTTGGACTTTGTAATAAATATAGCTGATTTGTGGGGAAAAAGAAGCAAATAACTTTTCATAGGTAGCATTGGTTGAACAGTACCCTATGCTTTCTGTACCATGTTGAGACTCATTCAGTGTTATACATACATTCAATAAATATATTAATAGATCTCTGTAGTATGTGTCACATATGACTGACTCTTCTGTTTTTTAGTGTTTTCTCATAACTCATACAACAGGATTGACTATTCATTAAGACTTAGTTGTTATCAAATTGCCTTTCTTCTCTTGTGACTTATGAGGGGTGCGGGGGTCTTTCCCTCTCTTCGCAGGTCATTGGCCACCGGTCCACGAGGGCAGGGGGAGCAGAAGCGGTGAACGGGAGTCAGGATGGCCAGTGAGCACTGATGGAAGAAAGCCCTTCTGGGGAAGCTGGTTTCACGGCGCAGTGAAACAGCAGTGATACAGCTCCAGATTCAGTGAAACAGCTCCATTTATTTGGTGGGAGAACTAGAGAAATTATAGTGTGGAGGCAGTAGCCAAAGCCTCAGCTGATAGGTGCTCATAGTATGCTTTATTTACATGTGGCAGTGGGCTCCTATCGTCTGATTATCAGGCAATGCCTCATTATCATATAGAAAAAACCTGGGGGTAGTTTTTACTCCAGGTAACTATGCCAAAGGTCATGTTCCAAATAAGGTCAGGCATCCGTGCTTGGTGGCACTTTCCAGGTAAGCCAGGAAGAGAGCAGGAGGCCCCCTGCTGAAAAGGGGAGTCCTTCCATTTGGAGCCGAGCCCCTTAGGGCTATCCAGACATGGAGAACTACAACCCTAACAGCAGGGTTTCCCAACAGAGAGGGACTATAATGATGTTCAGAGATAAAACTTGGAAGATCAAGTTATAAATTCTGTGGAACAAATTTAGAAATTAATTCCCAAGTAATAACAGAAAATTTCATAATAACATGGCATTAGGTCATAAGAGAAATGTTGATGATTAGGGCTGTATAGCCTTTTGAACTCCTTGTAATGTTCCAGGTGCTGAGGATTCAATGAACTATACATCTCATTATTATAAAAACTTCATTGTAGTCCTGTGAGTTAGAAAAGATAAAGATGAATATAAAAAATTAGTGTCACACATAAATGAAATGCTCTGGGAAGGGAATTAAACCCTAGCTTAAGTAACTAGGCTAGGATTGGTAACTTATTTCTACAAAAGGCCAGAGAGCAAATATTGTAGACTTTCTGGGTTATATGTACTCTCTAAGTTATTCGTTGTTAATTTTACAACCATTTAAAAAGGTAAACATTTTTATCTTGAGACTACAAAATAGCCTGGCGGTGGGATGGAGCCTAAGAACTGTACTTCACCCATTACTGCTATTCTTGTTATGTTGGAAACCATGATCGAAATGACATCTTTAAAGTCTAAAATTTCTAATTGAATGTTTAGACACAATGTAGTAAGCTTCACATCACTAGAATGAAATACTTGATACATACCACATAGGAAGGCGAGAAAGGTTTGTCTAATTGTTCTAGAGGTCTAAGTCCAAGATTGGGCAGCCCTATCTGTGTGTGACTCTTGTGGTGGTAGCATATCATGTTGGAAGTTTTGCTAGAGGGAACTGCTCACATCTTGAACTAGAGCACAGAGAAAGAGACCAGGTTCAATCATCTTTTCCAAAAAAACACTCCAGCGATTAGATGAATTCCTAGTTAAGGAATTCTCATTAGATCCCACATCTTAAAGGTTGATAGTATATCCAAATAATGGCACCAGGGAAGAAAGCTTAGAATATGCACTTTGGGGGCACTGCACACATTCAAACTACAGCACCCTACAGCACCCTTATATCTTTTGGTATATGTTTGGTGTATGTATGTGTACATGTTTATACGTATGCATGAGTGTGTTGATGGAGGTAAGAGGTTGAAATAGGGTGTCTTTTATCACTGTGGCTTTTTTTTTCACATTGGGTGATTGGGATTCAAAATTAAGTCCACATGCTTGCACAGCAAGCACTTTACTGACAGCCATCTCCCAATATCCTTGAAGTCTCATGTCTAATTTCAAGATGAAGCAATAGAGAATGACTTCCTAAAGCTAAAAATGAAATGCACATCTTAATGATAACTTTACAAACTACTTCTTCTTCTTCTTCTTCTCCTTCTTCTTCTTCTTCTTCTTCTTCTTCTTCTTCTTCTTCTTCTTCTTCTTCTTCTTCTTATTATTATTATTATTATTATTATTATTTTACGTGCATGAGTGTACTGCCTGCATGTTTGTAAGTGCACCTGTGTCATGCAAGGCCCACAGAGGTCAAAAAACGGCATCCAGTTCCCCTGGAACTGGAGTTACAGATGGTTGTTAGCTACCATGTGGATACTGGGAATCAAACCCGGGTCCTCTGCAAGAGTAGTCAGTGCTCTTAACCACTGAGCCATCTCTCCTGCCCCAAACCAATAAATCTTAAATAGACTCTCAAGCCCCATCCAGTAAAAATTACACAAAATACTGTTAATT